GCAGAGGCTCCACCGAACCCCTGAGACTGGCTCATCGAACCCCTAGGGTTCGATTGAACCCAGGTTAAGAACCACTGGTCTAGGATTTTAAAGGGACTAACATAAATCTAGACAATGAAGGGGGAGTCAAAATGGCATTTAAGATGTTTATTTTCTGCCATGTTTTAAGTTTCTTTTCTATAAAGACTGATTCAAAGACTTCACGAAGCGCTCAGGCCAAAATAACAAACAAAACAAACCTGAAATAAAAATAAAATTTAAATTTACCTAACCTCAATGAAAATAAAATATACAAGCCTAAAATAACCTTACCTAACAAGCACATAAACGGGAGAAAACTAAGGTTAATCAAAAAGGCAGCTCTCCCGTACAAAATCAGTCTGACCAATTTTACATTAGTTTGTAAAATAAAGAACCCTTAGCTGACAACAATCAATGGTGTATGGCAGTCAAGTGGCCCATAGGCACAGAAGTGCAGCTTCACAGCCTTTAAATAGGGCCCAGCTGATTGAYTGGCTTGAGACCCAAGGAGCAGCACCCAATCACAGGGGAGACACAGGAGAGGAGGTGGAGCCGAAAAGAAGACACATGGCATTATTACTTCAATGCAAAAACAAACATCCACACTGGGGTTAACAGTTTGTTCATGAGGAACACCACAGCTACTGCAGCTCTGAGCAGGACTGTGATCAGCTCTGCCTTCTGCAGGTTATTTTGTTTAAAATTATTATTTTTTGTCTGAAGCCAGTTGTTAAAAGAGCTAGAAGAGCAGCTGATTTGATCCTATTGAATGTGAGCACACAGCTGATTTTCAGATTTTCACGTCTTTTTTCCATCACTACCATCAACGTAAAAAAAGAAAAGCTTTATTTCACCACTACTCTTCTTCACCCAATACAACACTGATCATTGAGTGATAACAAATAAGAAAACTCACTATGCAGCCATCTTTATTGCCGTTTATGTACTTATATGAGCTGTGGGTGGGCAGAGGGAGGATCTATGATAATTTATGACCCGCTGCGTCTTCAGCTCGTTTATACCCACTTAGCAAAAAGTTGTCCAAAATRATGCAAWMTCAAACCCRCTGTCTCACGTCTTACTGAAGTATAATCCARSCTTTAACGCTGAAAGATTTTTGCTGAAATCTGATGAAGAGCYAAAGTCAAGCTGAAAAAGTTTAACAGAAATATTCTTCATGTGACTTTAATTTAATAACTGACTTTACCTGAAAGTAGGACAACAAAAGTGAAAAATCAGAAGAAAAAAATTAGTTAAAAAATATGCAATTTATTGTAAAATAGTCAAAGCTGCTAAAATTAGTAGAAAAAATGCTAAAATTAGCACAATGAAGCAGAAAGAGCATGCT